TTTTTTTTTTTTTTTGAAAAGCTGCATGTATTAAAAAAGCCGCTATGTGCTTAAGGGGATTCCAAAAGTTTCGTTTTAAGCTCTCTAGCTTTTTTGATTGCTGAGTTGAAAATGTCAGCATACATTCATACGTACAGACATTCATACATTTACATACGTAGGTACATACATACATACATACACACATACATACATACATACATACATACATACATACATACATACATACATACATACATACATACCGTACATACATACATACATACATACATACATACATACATACATACATACATACATACATACAATAATCAAGTTTGATTTTACAACTGCATTTTAGCAGTTCAGCCTTACAGATGAAGTTAACCGATTTCGACCGTAACTCGTTAATTTACGTGCCGGAAGAATTCATTGTGCCGGGTGGTCGATTTCGTGAATATTACTATTGGGATGCATACTGGATTGTGAAAGGCTTGGCTGCTAGCGGACTTCGAAGTGCAATCAAAAAAATGATCATCAATTTTGTGAGCCTTATTGACAGGTAATCATCACTAAGACCAATATCTCTTTGGCTATCCGTTACCGGCTTACTGAAATGCACACTAAGTAAAGCTTCGCCAAGCGAATGACTTGCTTGTCGCCCATTTCGGTAGCTTTTGACAGAGAGTAATCCTTTAGCGCCTCACTAGTATTTACAAGTGTCACCGTTAGAGCTGCAGCCGAGTTCCGCCAACTCTTACGGAGAGCGAATTTCATGGAGGAGGTTTTGACTTCTGACCTGTTTAACAGTCTCCGCATCTTTTTTCTCTGCGGCGGCATACCATAATCATTTTGGCGAAGCGAGCAGCCAATCTGGTCCAGCCAGTTTGTCACTAATTTCCTTGCTGGATAGTACTTTAAGTAGGTTCTCAATTTTGACGACATATCAGCAGAGAAATGCACACGATTTTGTTTTAACTACAGGTATGGTTTTATTCCGAACGGCGGTCGAGTTTACTACCTTTCGCGATCACAGCCACCGATGATTATACCAATGGCCTATGAATATTACGAGCTAACTCGTGATGCGCAATTCATTGCCGAAATA